CATTGTACAAGTACGAGTACCTTTCTAATATATATATATATATATATGGATGAAGGTTGGTACTCTCTTAGAGGAAATCAAACTCATTACCGCTTCTAAATTTTTTTGATAAAAAGAAGTAAATTATTAATTTATACATAAATTTAATAACTATAATAATATAACGGGCCGAGCGGGCCTTGCCGCATTTTTTTTCATTGCGCCCGCCCATCAATTTTAGCGATCTAGCCCAAGCCGTCGCATTTTTTCGAGAATGGTTGTCCAATCCCGCTCTCCAATAGGTTGAGCGGGTCGGATCTAACGGGCCATACTGCCCGTGAACAACTCTAGTTATAACGTACTCGTTTGTAACTTTGACCAAAAACCCTCCTCGAAACCCTTTCTTCCCAAACCTACGATTGTAAGAAGAGTAACAGTAGTTGTAAGTAATGTCACCATTTGACTCTAGGCAAGTCCGATTGAACTTTTAGTTTTTCATTCCATCTGTTCGATTTTTTTCGATCGGCCCGAGACTGTTTCTTCATAGTTTCACTATAAAAGACAAATGACTTTTACACATAAAAATCACCCAGAGAAATTTCGTAGGTGATTACTGACTAGTCACAAAGAAAAATACCAATGCTTCCGGTAAAATCGATGTTTTTAATGAAAATACCAACAAATCACCCAAAATTACCTGGGTAATACATCATTGATTTAAATTACTCACCGATTTTTGTGATGGTTTTATAACGAACCACCCTTCAATGACAAATTTCCTAGGGAAACATTCATAGGTAAAAGTCTTCCATTTAATAATATTTTGTTTCTCGATAATTTTTTTTGTAAAAAATAGCTTCTAATCATTTTATGAAAAATGAAAGGTATTATATTGATTCTAATTTATTTTATATATAGTTTGATTTCAATTTAAATTAAAAAATGAAACCAAAATAATTTATTTATTAATAATCATAGTAAATTATTATTTCCAGTTTTATATACATTTGGTTATTCTGATTTAACCTCTATATATATTATTTTTATCGTCTTCTGTTATACATATTGATTCTAATAGATGAAGGGTTTTGCAGGTTTGAGGTGAGCTTACGTAACTCATTAGGATTTAGGGGTAATATCAAAAAAGAGCTGATAGATGAAAAACCTTTGATGTTCCAATTGGAACTTTGTATCAAATTGGATGCGTATGGTTCAACAACCGTTTTATAAAGAAATTTTTTATTCAAATGAATTCGAACGAATTTCAATTAACCACCATGCATTCCTAGGACTAGTACTAGTACTAGTACTAGGTTGCAGAAGAAAAAAACGAACACGAAAGTGAAGAAGAAGAGAAAGTAGACGAATTTGTTGAAGCCTAATTAATGAGAGGAAGAGGGGAGAAAATCGAAAATCCTACTGACCATATGAATAATCTTGGAGGTGATCTTAAACTTTAAGAAATGTGTATAATTACCGAAAACACCTCTGAAAACGTTTTTCACGTATTTATTTTTCTCAAAAAATCAAAAGAATAGAAAATTTATATTAAAAATCCAACTCTCACAACATGTCACCTACTATCAATAATTATTGTTGTCGAAAAAAGTTGCTCCAATTTAAATTTTATTTAGTAAACACCAAGGTTTTAAATGACAAAAGGCGTGGCGTGATAACGAGGTCAAATTTCAAGTCTTACGAGTTACGACGAGACCATGACGTCTTTCAACATGTGCCCTAAGGCGGCACTGGCACATACATACATAATTGTATATACATAGCTTATAAGAAAACAATATCAAGAGTGCAAATTCGGAGATGAGAGTAAAGATTTACCTATTTAGGGTTTAGTGTTTATGGTTCGCTCTAATGTTTATACTAGTTGTGTACTTGCACAATGCGTCAAGATGCATTTCAATTGTGAAGCCGAAAACTTAAACTCTTAATCCTACCTCGTGCTTCTTTATGTTATCAGTTGCTCACACTTTTTAGCTATATTGTTACTTGAGGTTTTGAAATATGGACCGACTTATATATAATTTATGGTTAATATGATTGAAAAAGTTAATTTTTAAAGTCGAGCATCATTGCAGTTATAAACTGAAAAAAGTTAAGGAACTAATCATAATTAAGTGGTTTTGCGCACCAAAACTTGATATTCTTATTACCATAAGATACCACTCAAATCAAAACATAATAATTAAAGGAAAATTGATCAAAATGACCAGTTTATATATCGTACGTTAATAAAACGATCACTTTTTAAATCTTTTTTCAAAAAATAACCAACCAAATCGTCCCTAGAGAGCCATTTTGACCAAAGAGGGACGATTTTGACCAGAAGGTATGAAAAAGTCCCATATATATCTGATTTGGAAGACAAAAATAAGTTGTTGTACATGATTTTGTCCAAATCGCCCCATACATGCACAAATTATCCTAGATTTTTACCTCTTTTTTGTCTTCTAGTGAAGACAACTTCCGACGCAACAATTGAACACATTGGGGGTGATTTGAAAAAAAAAATGAGTTTTATAGGTATTCCAAGAAATTTAATTAGATTGATTTTTGTATAAAGTCTACAAGAAAAATATGTGTTATTGAAAATAACAGCTACTTTTTGGAATACAAACTTACAATAAATATGGTATGCGCCAAATTTAATCATTACGACTAGTAATGTGACACTTCAAACTCTACACATTATAGTCTTAATTATAGTTTTCGGATTTGTCGTGTGAAAATATTTTCTAACAATTTTTCTATAATTTTTTTTTTAAATAGCAAATTAAAACATAAATTTTTTAAGGGAAATTACATTTTTCTTTAAGGGTGCGTTTGGTACGCAGACAGGACAGGACAGGACAGAAAAAGACCGAACTGGTTAAAATGACCAATTTACCCCCAGTGACATTTCAACTACATAACTACATATCAGACGAAACAATAGGCAAAATCGATTTATCAATAGGCAAAACAGTAGGCAAAATCGATTTAATCAATAAGCAAAACAGTAGGCAAAATCGATTTATCAATCGATTTGGTAGACAAAACAATAGGCAAAATTGATTTATCAATCGAAACAGTAGGCAAAACAATAGGCAAAATCGATTTATC